TAATATGTATATTAACATAAATAATAATAAAAATAAATACAATATAATGTTTATATTCTGATGTATCATATAAATATTATATTAATGTAATAACATAGTTTGCCAATTATAAGTCCGAATGCATGAAGAATTATGCGATGGTCATTGTTAATTCGAACGTACAAGATTACAAAAGATTAATATATCACACAATATCTTATAATTTAAATTTGTCATAACTTACTATTCAATCGTGTTCGAGCCATGAATTTTTTTTTTCTGCGAACCAGGAATCCGCGTAGTCGGTTGCCGTTCACGAGACATTACCTTGATGACGTCCATCTTTCATACGATTTATGTACTAGATAAGCGATCCATCCCGCAATCAGCAGGAAGTTCAGGAAGGGCCATCCTACCCACGCGAACAGACCCGCGGCTTGCGCCGAACGGGCCATGCGTATCCTTCTGATCAAGCTCGATCTACAATAGGTATGATAAACCTTTAAGCCTTTTGCTCTAAGCTCTAAATTGTAATGTTTGTTTCTCGTCAAAAAGCGTTTCCGGCGTTGTTTTAAGCTGGAACCCTAAAGGGGATGCTGGAGCCGCCTGTATTACCGATAAAACTAGTATTTTTGATGTTTTTGTTCCTGTCGAATTTCTTCATAGTATAGTTTCACAGAGTAAAAATTCCTTTTCCATTATTATAACGTATATGCTAATGTACTTGTCGCTAGTGTATTTCGTGTATTTCGTGTTTGAAGCTGGATAAAAAATTACTGATTTCTTTATCCATTTTTGTCTCAGTATGGCGACCAACGCTAAAAGTAAAATGGATAAAGAAATCTGTAATGTTTTATTTTTTCCTGCTTTGAACATAAAATACACCAACGACAAGTACATTAGCATATAGATTTTAATTGTGGAAAAGAAATTTTTATTCTGTGAAACTAATACGAAGAAATTCGATGAAAACAAAAACGTCAAAAACGCTTGTTTTCGGTAATACAGGAAGCTCCAGGATCCCCCCCCCCCCCTGAGCTTTAAAGAGCTTTTTACCTTTGGAAGTCTAATAAGACTATGATTTTAGGATTTTTTTTACGAAATTCATGAATATTTATTAAGCTATTGTAAATTTGTTGTACATACATTGAATTATTTTCAATAAAAATTTGATATTAATAGATAGTTTAATTTAAAATAGGTCATTAATTTCAAAATTACTAGCTTATTAACTAAGAGTACGGTCAATGTGATGCTACAAATACTTTAAGCGTTTCTTGATTGGTCAATCAAGCGCTTCAAAGTTTTTCATTACAAAAGACATTACTGTGTGATATCGATCTAAAACAAAAATTCTAAGAAATTTTCATTAATGAATATTTAAAAGAAGAAGCACATGTGAATTAACCTTGGATTTTTTAAAATTTCAAAAATTAATGTGTTCAATTGGGATCCTCCCTTAATAATAAATTATAACACTTACTGGGTGCGTTCCATTTTGCGCTCGCAACGCTTGCGAGCATTATTTGTCCTTGTTTAACGTTTAATAAACAACAAGGATGAAATGATTCCATAAGCATTGCGAACGTCAAATAGAATGCACTCTATGTCATACATTATGACCAGAGCCCGGATCTCGATACCGTTTTCCTCACTCCATCAGCTACCTGCTCTACGTCATTACGGTATAGTCTAACGTATTAAATAGGTCATCATCGCACAAAAAAATATATTATGTGTTAAACTAATAAAATGAGTTAATATATTTCTTTGCTCTGTGCTATGACGCCCCATTTAATACGCTAGACCGTTATATAGTGGCGTAAACGATACTATATAACGATACTTCTTGTACAGATCCGACAAATAATAAGTATATTTCTTTGCTCTATCTATGCGAAGGCATTTGGTATGCTAGCGGTTGGACCGTTACACTAACATTGCTTTTCGCCGCTTGGAGTGGAGAAAATGACACTGAAATCCAGATTCTGATTATAATACTAACTACCAGGAGATTCAAACTGATTGGCTGCGTTAGCGAAGAAAATTTATCTAGTAAGTTCAGTGATTTTTTTAACATAATTGGTTTCCTACATTTAGATTCAGCGAAGAAGTAAAGGCAAGAACTCATATTAACAACTCACTGATTAGCAGGTCTATTCTATAATTCTTAATCCAAGTTTCGTTACAACGCTGCTGCGCAGTAACGTTAAATGATAACGAAATTCGCGTTAAGAGTTACAGAGTAGACCTGCAATTTTCTCTGCTGAACGCAGTCATTACATAAAAAATGGACGGAATTTTTAAAAACTTGTCTCTGCTTGTCCAAGCTTTTAACATGGTATTGAACCTCCTAATGACTACTGAAAGCATAACTCAATTAGCGCTCAAAGATCTCACTTACTTGTATATACATATGTATTTATTTATGTATTGACAGCGTTCTAAGATTAAATTGATGTAGTTTTGTCATTTTTCACTTTTTCTCCTTTTTCAAAACTTATATCTCTCTTCAATTATTCATAAATAAAAATGTCTTGACATTCCTATTTCAAATCACCTAGAATCGAGATATCATGCATAGCGCATTTTTTTTAGTGCCTCGTTTAAACGCTAATTTTTTTCGAGATTTTTAAATGATATCAAATCTTTACTGAAAAGAGTTTAATATGTGAATAATAAATCAAGCCTAGAAAAATCCGTCGCATAGGTTTTTCAAAAAAATTTCGAAAAATAACCTTTATTATACATCCAATGACAAAAGATCCTTAAGCGACCAGTCCCTGTATTTTGTAACTCGTTATGTGCTCATAACGACGGTTATGCAGATATTTTATTTTTCTAGTACAAAAGCTGCGCAACTGTCGTTATAAATACATAACGTATTACAGAATTTCGCTACAGATCTCAACTATAAAGCTTACATTAGAAGAGATTAACGTCAAAGTTGCTAGAGCAAAAGACTGAAGGCTGCATCTATTCCAGAGATGGGAAGTAACTCGTTATCTTTAACGAAGTTATAGTTAGAGTTACTTTTTTTTAGTAACTATAACTTAACTTTGTTACTTTCTTTTTATCAGTAACTGTAACTTAACTTAGTTACATTTTTTTAAGTAACTAGTAACTAATTTAATAATTAATTTCAATATATTTCAAACTTATTTGTCAATTTAGTGTGTGATCCACTTGGCTGTACAAATGCTTCGAAACATTTAATTGATCAAGCAGAAGAAAGAAATTTACTAATTGATCAATTAGAGAATGCTTTAAAATATTTGTAGCATTAAGTAGACGATGTAGTAAGTTATATTGATTATGGCTGCGTTTATATAATATTTACTGTTAATGCTGAAGCTAATGCTGGGCTTTTATTCTTGAAAAGAAACGTATACACAAGACTAGGAAAATACTATATTATAAGTGAAAGTTACCCAGTTTATGAAGAATTTAGCGATTAGGATGATTTTTTTCATTTTAACCAGCGAACAAAAGAAATCGAATTTTTACAAGAAGAACCGTTTTTTGAAGTTCAATAGTTCCATTGTTGAATGGCAGAAAAAAATTCTTCATTACTAAAAGTTACTTTTTTAATAATTGTAACAATAACTAACTACTTTTACGTAACTTTCCCATCTCTTACCTATTCTAAACCGGAGCTTACGCGAAACTATTGTCGCGTTGCGACTGAAGCTTATTCGTGAGGCTAACTCGCGATTTCATGTTGAACGCCGTTAAATGCAATGGTTTGCGGCTCACGTTTCCATGCGCTGAAATTTCATCAAGCCTTACGACAAAGCTACTTCTTCCATCAACCTAGATTGAGCCCCGTCGTGTCGCAATATTGTACATACGTACGTGGATACGTAAATTACTCAGGCGGACACGTATTTCTCGCTACGATGCGATGGGCACACACGCGAACTTGCCAATTTAATTGACGATCCATCGCGACAACGTCACCATTGTACGTACATCTAACATCCTGATAGGTATGTATATTCACACGAAATTATCTGCAACGTGTATAAGCTTCGCGTGTAGCGGAACTATGCATCGTGCCTTAAAACTAGTCGGGAATTGGTATATCGTATCGGTATAATTTCAATGAGATCGGATCAAATTCGCGCGGGAATGGTCGCTACGTTTATTCGCGATAATACAAACCCAACGATTAACACGAGCCCCCGACATGCTTCCATTTAACGAAATACATTTTTCATTAACTTTCTACAACTTTCTCTGAATTAACTTCTGGTGTTAGAATTTATTTATTTAATTTTATCTCTATTGCGTTAGCCGTGTATTATAATTATGACATAAAAAGTTTATTATTATAAATATTAATTATTTATCAAATTTAATATAAAGGATTCATTAAAAACATTATAGCTGTATGTTATAATTCCCTGGCGAAATTTTTGTTTTTAATTCTTCATACAATTTTTTAAAAGTTCTATGATATAAATTTTAGATTTTTTCACAAACTTCTGGATAATTTTATTATAATTTTTCGAAAATATATTTTAGATTTTTTATAAATTGATACATAAATTGATTTCAGAAATTTTGAGAAAGCACATCCTTTTTAAGTTTATTCTTCTATAAAAATTGCATCGATTCCATAATCTTGCCTAAATAAAAGAGACATTTTTCTTGTAAAAAATAATTATTACTTGCTCTTGTTGATGACTCAGTATTCTCTCAATCAGGCGTTCTACTCGTTTTCTCTTAATTGTATTGGAGTATCCTTTGTATACTTCAGATTTTTCTTTGCTGGGTTTTCTCTCGTTATTGGCAATCACTGTTCGAAATGGAAATACCGATGGATTGATCGAAATCTTTTAGTATCTACCACGAACTCGTTTTCAACAATCTCGGTATCTTCAATTTCGCTTTCGTCTCGATCGTTGTTCTCGTAGACGGGATTTACGAATGTCTTCGTTACCGTATCTGTTAATGAGGAGGATTCGCCGGGGTCCACGCACGAAGGACTGTGATCTCCGTTCCGCTCGGTACACTGGAGAAATTCCGCGGGATTCTGAGCCGCGTCTTGTGTCTTCGCGGTCTGCACGAGTCGAGAAAGATGGACAAAATCAAGGCAGGTTCCTCATGCAGGGGACTCGATCTCTTTACGGAACTTAGTCCCCGCGATTATAGCCCTGCGCAATAAGGGCGAAAAAGATACATACGATATTACGTGCCTGATATTACTAAGCCTGAAACACGATAAAAAGCACAAGACAATAGGAAAAGGGAACAATGTTCTGGTATACACGATTTCTGATAGGTTGAAATCTCTTATCCTCTGTTCTTATTGCTTGCGCTTTTCAATTGTGCATTAAGCTTTATCTGCGTCTATAGTTCTCTGTGGAGTGATCTCATGAATATCGGTAAAAGTGTCGTTTCATTCTTTTCTTTGTTTGCAGGGGCGGATTCGTATCGTTACGGAAATTATCAGTGAAACTTAAAATTCCTGGATTCGTCACTGCAGTCGTTAGATAATGATATCAGAAAAAAAAAGACTCATGACTCATTCTCACAATATTGAAATAAATCAATGCGCTGCCTGTCCAAGCGTTGTAGAGTCGAGGAAGCCCGTCTCTCAATTTGCAATTATAATAGCCGTTTTTTATTTTGCCTATCATTCTCTCATGTCTGTGACACTCATAATGATGCTACATCTTCTTCAGGCATCCTCATTTGTTATTATAGAAAGTATGATACTATGCAAAAGTATATTCCCCATACAGAAGTTTGCAGCAATATTGCAACAACGTGTTATTTACACTTCATTTCGCTGTATCGAGACGGCGCGGTGAAGAGATGAAATCGTTTCGGCTTACGGGCCGAGTTTTAGACAGACCGGAAATAAATCTACTTTTTCGTATGTCACCAGCGAAGTTATTCCGAAGTAATTATCTATCTCTTAAAAATTGTGTGATAGATCTGTATAATTTTAACTAATTTTTAAATACCAAAAAAGTCAGCATCCGCCCCTGTTGTTCGCAGTTGTGACAGGTGGAACAATTATACGGAATAATTAAACTGACTATGAACAGTCTATATTCATAAATGATTCTTTCAATTCGATCGAATTAATTCCGTGAGACAGCTGCGAAATAAAATTGGTGGGATTTACCTGTGAAGCGAGCCTGGGCGAGCGCAGCCAAGCAGTGATCTTTCGGCGAGACTCGCGAGAGAAACTACGGTAAACAATCACGAGCAAACCGATCGCAAGAAGAAAGAGGATAACAACGGTAGACCAAGACCAAACCGCAGGCTCTTCCTTATTGACGTCGTGAACGAAATAGGGCGGTGGATAAAATGAGCTCGGATATGTGTGATATGCCGCGTAGGTATCGTACGAAGGGCAACGTGGATACGCGGAAGGTGGGTAGAAAGGGCAAGGGACGGGATGAGGAGCCGGATGTACCGCGGGATGTGGATGGTCCCTCTCAGAATTACGATGTACGCCACCGTAAGGTTGACGAGAACGCGTAGCGCACATTGGCAATACAATTTCCTGTCCTACAATTTCTCAGGACCTGGGAGGGACACTTCACATCCTCGCGTACGTAGGAACAAAGTGACTTCCACCGAGGTAATTTTGATTCCGCGAACGACTTTCCAAATTAGGTTAAACGAGAAACTGGTGGTTCCACTCGCGAATGTTGACAAACGAATCTTCACGTACTGTTGCGACTCCGTTCGGGTCGCATCGCACTTTTTCACTTTTTCAAAATAGGAATCATTCATGGCTCGAAGCGGTGAAAAATAAAAAGGTGGAAATACATTTATATTCGAGTAAGCTTCTGATTTAAAAATGAATGAAAAAAACTATGTTAAAATCAAGTCTTACTTTATGGCTGAGATCCATGACATCATCCAAGGATACATCGCTGTACACATCGTCCGTAGCATCGTAATTCGAACCCATCCCTGAGCTGTTGAAGCTGCCACTGCGATAAAGTTGGCTACAAATATTATAGCAAAAAGATCTCTTTTAATATTCACATGAAAGAATCATTGACTTTGAAAGGAAATTTCGAAATTGTTATATGAAAGTATTAATATTAACACACGACAATTCAGAGAGCTATTTCAAAAATTATATGTACATAATAAAAGTATAGAAAAAGATGTATTTAGCGAAAGTTCTGGCAATTAAAAAATAGACATTTTAGTTTGTAAAAATGACAAAAAATTTATTTTTTATTTGCCGTCAAACCGGCACAATATGTATAAGTCGTATTAGAATTTCTCTAAGGAACTCAAGTTGTACGTGAGCGACCAATGTTTTCTCGTCCCTGCCCGTTTTGACAGATGGATAAGACACGTATGTATATTTGAACGTAACGATGGTAGCGTGGAAGGAAACGCTAATATCGAGGTAAATCGTGGGTATGAAACGTAACGTAATAGAAGCACGCCCACGTTTTAGAAAGTTCGTCGATTCAAGTTCCGTGAAAGGAGCGACTTCGGGAATTATTAACCTTGATGCGGAGGCATCATCCTACGGCCAGCGAACTCTTTTACCCGAGATATATTCATTTCCTTTTGCACGCGCGGGTAAATTGAGAAAAAACGCGAGAGATTGTAAAAAAGAGATCATGTTTCGGAACAGATAATTAACTGGCGGTGAAACTGCCAGTTAATTGAAAGACAGATAATCTATACATTTATATATATATATATATATATATA